TCCAGCGATTATATCCCCTTCTTTGCAGTTGTTTATTTAGGTCAGTTCGGCACTCGTCTTTCCTCTCTTTTGCCATTAAATGTCGGGTAATATACGGAGTTTCATCGTTTAGAAAATTTGGCCCTAGACAATTTATGCAGACTAAATTGGCCTCGACCTAAAGGTACATTTTATACAGACAAAAGAGTGAGGATTGAAAATTGCCATTTTCGACATTCATGACAATATTTAACGTCGGAAATCCTTTGTTGCGACCTGATGTGATCTGTTGGGGTTCCAGGTATTTTTCGTCAAACCATGAGCACATGACACGTCAGCAAAGTTAGCGAACAAGTACAACTGATATTTGGTTATTTTGTCTAGTGTAACGATAGAATGTATGTCGTTGATAACCCAAGCTGGAGATCAAACAGCAGCACAATCAGACATGGAAGCAGATCAAGTTTGAACAATAAGGCCCAAAAAGACCATTATATGTTTTCTTGCTTTTTAAAACTCCTACCAATTTGTGCGTTAATTCGACATGCCGCAGGAACAACAGCCCACATACTCAAAACCAGGGGGCACTTCTATTATTCATGCCCCATTTTAACCGGTTTGTCTAGCACGCATTCGCTATCAAATTAAATCTTGTATGAGTTTGTGGTACAATTCGGTTGCACTTAAAAGTGGTAATCAATGAACCAGCTTAACTAGTTTTTCACCCAACGACGAAAATAAACAAAACGTATATTTCGTTGGATGTGAGCTTGCCTCCACTTCCTTTACGCTGCCTTCCGCCTATCCTTATAGGTTCTAGAAGTTTCGCCTACACTTTATAAATCTGCATTTGCTTTTGGACAGTTGGAAGGCTTCCTTTGCCAAAAATTTCAAAACCATACCTTCATTAAACGTCTATTCATAAATATTTTCCACGTTCGAACTCCAATCGTGAAGGTGTTCCGGTGAAGTTTAATCACATACTAGCATGCGACCTAGGTTCTTATAGAATTAAGGCCTCCCCTTAGTTCCTGGACTTGACAGTTGCACAGCCTGTCTACTGCTGACAGCGCTCAGCGTTCTGCTGAAGGATCCACTTCTGGTCGTCACAACAAACCCTGTGCCTGAAGCTATTGTGTAAGCAAAACATGACTAAATGCAAGAGACTGGTTGTGACTTCAGCCAGGTAAGATGTAAAAAACTAAATTTTCATACACTGACACTTTTCCCATTTTATTGAATTCCCATATAACAGTTCAATTATTCGTTGTAAATTGTGCAACAACCTGCCTAGTTGCAGTTAAGAGACTACTTTTAACAATTTCCCCCAGTAATGAGTTATTCTGGCCTTTTACTCTTTGCTTTGTCACGCAAATGAAAAACTCTTTTATAAATGATAAATCACTTACTGGCAGAATGATATTACCGAAAAAGACAAGGGAGACTGGAATGGCCATTTCTGGCTTATTAGCCGTCGTCAGCCAGCCATACCCAAGCCCGAAGTGTGGAACATCCGAGCCTCGAACTCGCGACCTGTTGGTTCAGAAGTCAACGCCTCTACTCACCGAGCCACGAGCCGGTTGCCCTGTCGGTTTCCGATCGGGAATATACAATGTTAGGGGGCGCTCACCGATCGTTCACTTACTGCACGTTCCTTCATTCAATACGTTATAATCTTAAGTGCTCTTTCCGTGAGCTTATGCCGTAGCAGAATCCCCAGCACCTTAGTTAAACAGATACAGGTAAACGTGCCTAATATGCTGCCTAGGTGATGAAACAGGGAATCAGAAGTGTAGAAATTCCGACAACAGATATCATCGGAGTTAAAAAAGTAGATAATATAGATAGAAATGTCTTGTCAAGCACCAGAAGCAAACGATATTTTGACAAATATTTTCTTAAGTATTTAACTCAACATTACGAATAAAAGTTCTTTCCAAATTTGTAAAGAATGTAAAGACTAAAAGACCCTGGGTAGGATTTTCTGCACCCGTACTACTGTGGGACGACGCTGGGTTTATGATCTTTTAAGCTTAGTTAAACCAAATAGCAAGTGGTCTTATGATGCATTCGGAAAATTTTGTCGTTCTGAATCCAATAGTGCGTATTTCAGCAATCAGTGCCTTTATTTTTTCCATAACTAATTTCGTGCATAAATCGATTACCAAACCTATCCGCTTACTGAATCAAAGAAGGGTATTCGGATTAGACCTTTTATTACCAGCTTGCGGTCCCCGGTGCAAACGCCGTCTCTTCTTACATTTTCTATGTTTTCGAATATACAGGCATATCACGACCGATCACAGCTTCCAATCTTTGGTTTCGACCAACAGGCAATTAATACTGCATAGGGTATAATTCAGTCGTCTTATTCTTTTTGTTTATGATACTTTTACTTTTTACTTTACCGACTATTATCCCCTGGTATCAATAACACTGACAGATGAGGATAAAAAATGCAATCATCTTAACTTAAACCTGCCTATTTGTCATTTCGAGTAGTGAAATATGGATGCGCTTAAGTTTGTACTGGCCAATCATCCTGGATACTGTAGGCGTATGCACGAATGTAAGATTTTGTAGCAAAGATCAGTCATGTAAAGCCTTTGTGATGGCAAGATAACGGACCAAATATAAACATACCGTAAAACAGACAGTGACTCTTATCGTCGCGTGCCTTTATAGTAGCGGAAATTATGGTTAGATCAAAACTTTACTATATAAGACAGAGTAATGCGTAGGCAGTTCGTGAGCAGTCAAAATTCCTTTGTAATTCGAAGACTCAGGTGCCACTATTCTCCAAAACCGGGGCTTGTTTGAGAATTATGAGAAAAAATAATCGACAGAAGACAGGGCTACACGATGAAAACCGACATAATATCGATTAGTACGCATTCTGACAATCACAATTCCAACATATTTTACCGAGCGGGGTTTTTAGCGTAGCCCGGAAAAGCATTCGAAGTTGATCTTCCGTTTCCATGCATTTATCCATAAGGCCGGTTAGGATACTTTTACTACCTTATATCCATTTGTATATCTATTAATAATGAAAAGGATGCCCTCACCTCGTTCAAATGCAAAATGTTGCCGGTAGTATTATGCGGGTTGTTATTTTAGGAACTGTTTTCGTTAACTATGCATTAAACTGTCTGACAAGTAGACATGTCAGATGACAGAGGTGCCAACATCGTTCCGCACCAGGCGTTTGTGAACCCTGTTTAATCATTACAAACAAATCCAGAGAGAAAATATCTAGGAAACTGCGTGTAAAGACTGTATGGGTCTTCTTAGTTATGTCGATAAAATGAAGGCCGTGTTTCCCTGATAATCAGGCTTTTTAACTGCCTCCTGAAAGAATAATTGCGGCCTCTATTCTATTTTTTCATTCAGATATGTTGGCTTATTTTAATGAATCACCTTAGTTTCCCATATCTAGTTTATATAAACAACGTTAACTTTAACTGACGTAATCGATGAGAATACGTTGAGTCAAATCGTCTTCAGTTCTTAGCTGTAGATAATAAGACCATATGAATGACTTAAACAAGGTTTGTCGATTACGATACCAGTATTTTTTACATGCACACTTCATTTCAACGATATAAATGTTTGTTTGTCTCATCGGGATCGGATTCTCGAATTCCGACACCAGTAATTTTTTGTTATGAATTGCCTGATGATATCATGCTGCGCAAGATTTTATCTTGCAAAACGTCTTCGCGATGTTAAAATGCAGTTATAAGCTAGCGAATACCTCGTCAGACATATGGGACAGGACAGCGTTCTATTGTCGAATTTGTGAAGACCGTGACTGTTAGTTTTCATGTAGGCATGCAGGTGTTCTTTGGTGAGTTTTTAATGGGAGTTTCTGATTCAGTATGCACTACATTTCATTGAGATCACTCCAGCAATCCCCCACATTCATGGTTTTGCTTAAATTGATAATGTAGAGAATAATTTCGCCTGCATGTTCCCAAAGAATCAACATGATATATTAGTGATTTGTCGGTCTAATAAAAAAATGTAGTACTTCACAATCAGCCGATCGTGTTGATC